ACAGCAAAATTATAGTAGTATTAATACTAAATTCCTCTGATTTCATTTTCAATACAACCAAAAACTGAGACGCAAGACGGCAAGCTGTATTTGAATGAAACGAGAGCCGCGTTCGAGCCTCCGCGGTGATACAAGAGACATGCGGCGAATTCCAAACATGTCATTGTACAAGTAACGTTACAATAAGATTTATTTTGAAACTTCCAAATTGATAGTAAAGCTTAAGAATACAAATAATAAGTGCAAATAGCTCAGATGTGCAAATGCAGCATTAAAACCTAAACAGTACAAACGGAAAACAATGTAATAAAACGGTAGAGGGTGAATTTATTATTCCATGTACATTTGAGGTTAATGTGTGTACTGGGCTACTTTTGAGTTACAGCAGCTATCACTGTGTTGTTATGAAGTCAGTTGTGCCAGACAGTTTGAGGCAGAGACAGATTGTGGGGGGGACTAATAGGGAAAAACTTAAACTGTTGGAATAAAGAGTTTTAAAGGGTTAGTGATGGAAAACTTGCAAGTCAATGGGCATCAGTGTTTAAGGTTGGTAAACACGTGTACACGGATGCATATAATACTACCCGCCTGACATTGGCATGTGTTATTCAGGTGTCAAAGTTGTGCAGAGTTGAAGGAAGAAACCTCAAAGACACTTCCAGAAGGATGTTGGACAGGTAAAGCCTACAAATCTTGCCACATTAATCAAACATTGTGGTGTCAATACTCAATAAGTTAAAACGCAAATCAGAAATTTAAAAAAAAATTCCTTTACTGGTCATTTTGAAATGTCAAACTTTGTCCGCAATTGTTAACCACCTCAATCTGTATTATATTTTAGGGTTTTAAAAAAATTCCCTCATGTCCAAATTCAACATGAAGGGGGGTGGTCCGCTGCAGAAAGAGGCATTTGAAAAGACTGCACTGTTCTCGGTCATCAGAGGTATGTGTATAAAACACACAACATTTACCAGAGAGCTTCTCTCTTTTTTAACACACTGAATGGTGATACACTATATATATATCTCGTTTTTGTTTTTAGTTGGCATCCAAGCAAAAGAGAATGACTCCCTGTCACAATTAGTGTAATTAAAGTAAAAAATTATGTCAAGCTTTTCTTGTGCTTTTTTTTTCTTTCTTATTTGGCAGATGCTGTGATGACCAACTTCCCGGCAGCAACAGAGTTGGACTTGAGGAATGCAGTTGGGAGGCATTTTAAACAAGAAATAAAACCAATAATTAATAATTTCCTTTAAGTTCACTGTTGGTTGTTTTATTTGTTAAAATAAGTAAACCAACAAAAGGATTAATCTTTTTTTATGTTGTGTTTTTATGTTGTTAAGTGTGATAACATGCTCTTGATTTGTATTAGATTTTTTTTTTCTTTTAAATATCTTAAGTTATTTAAAATATTTTATTTTTTCATTTTTATATTTTTATTATCTTAAGTTGTTAAAAACTCCAGATTTTTAAATCATAATATTTATATTTAAGTGTATTGTATTTATAACATTTTATTTTGTCATTAATTCTTTTGTATTTTTATCATTTTGTATTGTCTTAAGTTGTCCAAGTTGTTAAAAATGTTATTTTTCTTAATAAAAGCTGCATGTATGGATTGCCATTTTGTGGTCTATTAGATGTATACATGTAGTCGTTTAATAGCCGTCTAATTGATGACTAGTCTATTCTTGGGCTATGATTAGACGTCTATTAGATTTTCACTGACAGCCCAAATTTAGCCTCGTTTTAGCCTAGACGCACTCGCATTAAATCTATTACATCAGGTAAGCAAGATTATTTATTTTCTCATGTAACAAGCCATCAAACCAACATTAGGAATTCTAAGTTGGTGCTTTGATGAAAAAGACATGCAGCGCAACATGTTAATTAACAGAAAAAAAGATGAGAACGCGCATCCTTTCTGAAAACAATACAAAACTTTTGCCTAGCATCTTGTGATCACTCTGCCAGGCTTTTGAGCAAATGTGCATTGGCTAAATCACATCTTACTAGGGCTGCCGTTGTTCACTGACGAGCTGCGCAAAAAATCGCACGAATATGAAAGTGGTTTTGCGCAGCTCGTCAGTGAACAACAGCTCTGTGTAGTTAATCCTAATCAAGGCTACATTTATTTTCATACTAAATATCTCGACACACATCATTGGATATGACATTAAGCGCGACTTGTGTAGATTAATTTAGTAAAAAAGGCATGCATGCTTTCTGTGGCATATATTTGTATACTTTTACCATCTAATCAATCTCAGCATGCGTTAATTTTGTGTCGCTATATGTTTGCCTCACTAAGGTTAAATTATGCCTACGTCTTTCTTTGGCCTGCGCTCTGGAAGTGATCTGTTAATTCTGCTAAACTTTAATTAAAACTGAAACTAAACCATATAAAAACTAAATAAAAATGCGTTCACAAAATAAAAACTAAACTAAAACTAACAAAAATATGAATGAAACTAATAAAAACTAAACTGAATTTTATAGCAAATTTGAAAACGATATTAAAATAAAACTAATTTAAAAATTCAAAACTATATTAACCTTGGAGTGGAGAACAGTCTACAAACCCACAAAGCCTACAGACCCACTACATGGGTTGTAATGTCACGTAGCTGTGCGTAAACACTGCAAAACAGGCATTTCTTAACAATAGTTTTAGTTTAGCCGGCTCCTTTCAATAGTCCAAACGTGATTTTGGAATATACCGACACCTACTGGCCTGGATGTATGAAGTTTGTTTACTAACTGCTGTTGCTGCTTCACACTGCAGCAACAGTCGTCGGTATAGTTGGTAAAGTCAGTGCGTCACTGCAGCTGCCGTTAAAAGTCCCGGTTGCTACAGAAACAGTCAGCATTCCGAGACGTGCTCTTAGGACTGCGCATGTGCACTGGCTGATCTAGCCTGAAGAATAAGCTTTTTATAACGCTATTTGAGCAAAAGCAACAACATTTATGACACAGTTGTCAGATTTCTTTGGTGATTTCAAATATGAAATTTAATTGTAAGCTTAGCGAACAGTTTTGGAGTTTCCCCATTCAAAGATATAGGAGCTGCACTTGCATGCCCGAGAGGCATTTCAAAGATGGCCGCCGAGTGACATGACTTGTCTTAAAAGGACTTTGTTAAAAACCAAGGGGAAAACTAGTTATTTTATTTTATTA